TACCATATAAAGTACAACCAGACCAATCACGTCTGAGAAACAAAAGGTAACTACAGATGGTGTGCATCACAGTAGAAAACTTATCTTTACTGGAAATGAGCTTAAAGGGATGTTGGTTAAGATCACCCAAATTCATTCATTCATCCATCAAGTATTTATTTGGCACCTACTGGGTACCAAGCACTTTTTAGGTGTTAAGAATACAGCAAGAAATAAGACAAGGTTCTTGCTTAGGCAGTTACTGGGCTGTGTATCTCTCCCAAAACCCCCAAAAGAAAGGGACAATTTAAAAAAGGCTCTGTGCGGCCACTGGCATTTTCTCTGTAGCACAAAGTCATTATGCTTTCTCATGAAAGCATAAGAAAGTTCATGCTTTCTCATGTGAAGCATCCAATAATGTATATTCACAGAACATTAAAGGAAAATGAGGGTGTGAGAAATCTAGTCTAGAAGTTTCAACACATTATTTTTAACAATGAAAGCTTTCCCACCCCCAAAAGACACCTACGCAAAACAGAGTGGCTGCCCCCAATCCAGGGGGCAGCTGGGAATAACACACACAGTGTGGGAACCCCTGAGGATCACAGTTCACGGTGGAGCTAGAACCAGGCCAGAGGCCATCTCCCAACTCGCAGGCCAGGTCTCTTTGCTTTCACCTATTACTTGCCTTTGGCAGACAACACACTCAAAACACATCTGTCCAATGAACGAACTAATCAAATATAAACACGATAACTAATTTCTTTCTTGAAATTGGGCCAGTATGAAATACTGGTCACCGAGGCTGAAAATAACTTGAGCTGAACCCAGTTTTCAATCTTCTTTTTCACTGAACCATAATATTTCACTAGTCCAAAATGGTGGTAGAGGCCAGTGAGCAAAAGGGAGCAAGGAGGGCAGGGAAAGGGGGCGGCCTGTGGTGCAAGCGGTTAAGTGCGCGCTGGGGTGGCCCAGGGTTCGCCGGTTCAGATCCCGGGCACGCACCGACGCACTGCTTGTAGAGCCATGCTGTGGCAGCATCCCATATAAAGTAGAGGAAGATGGGCACAGATGTTAGCTTAGGGCCAGTCTTCCTCATAAAAAAGAGGAAGATTGGCATCAGATGTTAGCTCAGGGCTGATCTTCCTCACCAAAAAAAAAAAAAAAAAGAGGGCAGGGGACTGTTACCAGCCAGTATGGGTAGATTCTATCTGAACCTATCTGACTTCCTCATTGAAGTTAATTTTGGATATCTGTTTCCATACTTAGTGTACATAAGGAAGTGATATATTTTATACACACACACACCACACACATGCACACAGATACACACACACACACAAACCAGTGATCTACAATCTTCTATTCACAATCCTGAAATCCAAAGAGCTCTCAACACTGAAGATCTTTCTGTATCTTATTTGGCAGCAAAACTTGACCTGACCTGAACTCATTTGGTGGCAAAACTTGACCTAACCTGACTCGAAGTTATTTATAGTCTTTCTTTTCCTCACTGAGTGTGAATAGTCACACATTTCACTGTCAAAGATACTGATGTTTAATTATAAGGTAATTCAGTAGTTACAAAAGTTCCAGAGAAGGGATTGTGGATTTGTATGTAAACGGCTCAACTAAATAACAATGGCTTTGAAATAATAAATTTTTACTTGTTTTAAAGTCTATACAGTATCAACAGAGGACAAATATTTAAAATCAGAAGTTTCTGAGCTAAAAAAAGATCATAAGAACACAGTCAATCTAATGCCCTCATTTGTAGGTGAAGAAACTGAGGCTCCCAGAGACCATGTGACTTGCCCAAGTCAACTAGTTTACAACAGACCAGCTCCCACCTGCTACCCTCACCCCAGGGCAACACGCTTTAGTCACAGCCATTAGTCCCCATCCTGAGGGCCCTCTCAGTGGGTTTGGAACCAGCTTGGCTTTTGTTTGATCAGAGTGTCCAATGGTTCTCCAGAAATTACTTGGCTCAACTTAAAAGAAAAATAAAATGTTTTTGTAATACTTCCCTCCTTCAATTCCACTTTTCTTTCTCAAAATTTGGATGAGTGTACAAATTGCTTATCAAAAGGTGGCAGCCAATACCACTTATACTGAGAGGGGGGAAAAGATATTAATCAATTCTCAGCTAACAATGATCTTCTTAGTCCTCTGATCCATTACAGTTAGTGAAGTTATTAACAAGTTGGTAATATTAACTGTTTGATGAGAGTATTCTATTGCAAGAGTTTATTTCAAAACAAGGACTAAAGGCATAAAATAGTTGATGATAATAATAATAATGGTAGCAGTAGTTACTATCATTTAATAAGAGTCTGTTGTGCGCAAGGAACTGTGTGAGATGCTTCATATAACGGGTCTTATTTAATCCTCACCATCAACCCTGCAAGGAAAGTATTCTTGCCTCCATTTGAAAGATGAGGAGGCTGAGGTTCAGAGAGGTTAAGTAGCCTTTCCAAGATTATACAAGGGACAGCTGGGCTGTTTGAGAGACCATGAAGAAATGTGCTTAAGACTACCTCTCTGGAGCCATAATGCCTTGGTTTGAAGCCCAGCTCTGCCATGGACTAGCTGGATTAACTTGTGCAAGTGCCTCAGCTTCATCACCTGTAAAATGGGTATAACAACAGTACCCATCTCACATGGGTGATGTTGTGAGGATTAAATGAGTTAATACATGTAAGGCAGTACAGAGAGTGCCTGGCACCTCGTAAGCCCTATGTATTAGCTATTATCATGATCATTAATACTGGCACCAGCATTCAAACCCAGGTCCACCTAATCCTGCAGCTCTTCTTCTCCAGTGTGCTGCAGAAATTAATTACAGGCAATAAATTAGTGGTATTGAGCCATGCCACCTGTTGACATTCTTTCCCTCTCCTTTCTATCGTCTGTTCCAAACTTGAAGACCTATGGCAATTTCAAGACTGAAAAATGTCTTTCTTCTGGTAAACAAATAACCACGCATGGAATTTATAAAATGAAAAATTCTGGGGGCTGGCAGGGTGGCACAGCAGTTAGATGCGAAAGCTCCGCTTCAGCGACCCAGGGTTCACAGGTTCAGATCCCGGGTGCACCATTTGTCAAGCCACGATGGGGTGGCGTCCCACATAAAGTAGAGAATATGGGCACGGATGTTAGCCCAGGGCCAATCTTCCACAGCAAAAAAGAGGAGGATTGGTATCGGATGTTAGCTCAGGGCTGATCTTCCTCACACACCCTCACAAAAAATATAAAATAAATTATTGTAATTTTAAAAGAATAATAAAAATAAAATAAAATGAAAAATTCTGACAACTGACGCCTTTAAGTCACCTTCACACTGCAGGGGTGTTAATAAACAGCTAACAAAATTACTGAAGGCCAAAAAAACTTCTATCAGCAATAAGACACTTGGCTATGCACAGATACATTCACTATATTAAGTTGCAACACATGAAACAAAGATAGAACAGCAGGTGGTATAATATTACGTACATATGCCACACTTACAAGTAAGTCTGGGGCACTTTCTCACCCTTACTTATGACTTATTTTTTCTAGCCCCTAGAACCAAGAACTACTAAAAGTGTATGCTCAGAAATCATGCCATATGATTTATGCATTCATTAAACAAATATTTAGACTGCAGGCTCTGGCAGGACCTGGCACTATGCTTGGGGCAGGGTAACACCAGTTAAACAGACAACACCCTCTCTTATGAAGCTTACAATCCACCAGGGGTACAGACTTCAAGCAAACATATACTGTGGCCTTTCTAAAAACCATTCTGTTAATTTTAAAATCTTTGCAACCTCCTACAAAAATTTTTTAAAAAATTAAAACAAGGAGACAGATTTCAAACAACTTGAAGATACATCTTTTCTCCCAGTTGTTAGAGACACTTATTTTTAAAAGTGGTGTTCTCTAATCTCCGTACGCTTGTTAAAGATAAAGAATACCGTATTAGACTGTCAATACTGACATATCCAACCTAAATCAAACAGTTATTTCATTCAAGACAATGTTTAAAGTATACATCCAGAGGGGCACAAAATCTATTAAACCTGGGTGTTTCCACCTCCCAAACCTGTTGCTTGGACTCTCTGACAAGTGTACGGTCTAACCGAACTACTTTATTGCACATTAACTAGGAGCAGATCAAGAAAGGCCAGGCTTGTGTGATCTGGGGTCTGAATTACCAGCATATCCCATGACACAAGGACTTGTGCTGGCTCCGAAGAGGTCGGGTGCCCGTGTCCTGGTCACGCGACAAGGCCCTAGCCTCACCTGATCTCAGGACAGGGAAAAGTGTTTGGAGCTGCCAAGAAATCTCACATCAGCGTGTGCACACCTACCAGTAGAGCCTCTACGGGCTAAGTGATGATGTACAGTTCTTCCAAATAACAGAGCAAATGTGCAAAGAAAAAAAAAATCCCTTTCACATGTAAGTCCTTTAAATTTTGGGCCAATACACTCTCCCCACTGCAAATTCGCATGCAAAGAAACACAGGCCCCTTGGACAAAAGTTGAAAATCGAGAAGAAACAGGATTAAAAAGATAAAGCACCTTTGTCAAGATGAAAAGATTAGAAGGGTGACACCTGAGGAGGAAAACTGTAAGAGGGGCAGGGAATGAGCATTTAGGAGAATTTAGGAATGGGAAAAGACAAAAAGCCTAGGTCCCGCGAGGGGGCTTCACGGAGGGGGACAAGGCCTGAGTGGGAACGTCAAATGACTTGGGGACCCTGAAGAAGGCACCTGGCGGGAAAGGGAATCTGCAGAACGAGAGCCTATCCCCCCACACCGTAGGGAGGATGAGCTCTCGCCCCCACAGGCTGAAACCGGGGCCCGGGGAGGAGAGCTGAGCGCTCGGCGCCTCCGGAGCAAGGCCAGGCTCCGGGACCTGTCCCCGGGGCTGCAGGGAGGACGGGGAGGCAGGAGTCCAGCGCGCCAGGGCTCGGGGCGCCGCGGGGTCGCGCGGGGTCAAGGCGCCCGCACCGGGGCTCGCGCGCCGCTACTCACCTCTCCGAACTGGAAGGCGGAGACGATGGTGACGACGACGCCCACGAAACAGACGTAGAGCCCATACCTGTGGGACAGGCAGGTATAGGTCTGTCTCTGTAAGAGCTTGAGCAGCATCACCCCGGCCGCCGCCACGCCACGCCCCGAGGAGCCGCCGCCGCCCCAACCAGCCGCCGTTCAGCGGCCCCGGCAGGGCCGCCGCGCTCAGCTCACAGCGTCCGGCCGCCG